AAATTTTTAAAATAATAATAAAATAATATAAAAAAAATACAGATGACAACTTTAAAATTAATGATTTAGTTTTTAGAATTTAAAAAATAAAAAGAAGAGGTGTTAAATCAAATTTAAATTCCTCAGCCTTTTCCAATGACTATAATGACTAAACTGACAATTTCTCCAATTCTGACTGTTTCACAGGTCCGATTGAGTGAATTTCTCTTTCAACTCCAACTTTGAAATCTCCCTCAGACCCGATACTTCTGTGACTCGCTATCACAAAATCTGCATGTCTATGTGGTTTACCGCCACCTTTATATCCCTCCCTCATAAATGCTTTGTTTGGTTCTGAAGGTAGGAGCCTCCTTCCTTTTGGGATTTGACATAAAAACGTAAAATAAAAACAAAAAAAGAGACAAAGTTCTTTTAATTTTTTTAATTTTTCACCTGGTATCCGATATTTTATCCCGATTATTTCAGATTCGATCAGCTGTGGCGCACCAGAATAATGGGTGGGTCTCCCAACAAAAGCTGTTGCGTACACAAAATTTCAAACTCAAGACTTGCTTAAACTGGAACAAGCCACTTGTCACTGACCGTCCTAAGCCTTCCCTAACTTTGCCTCCCTTCTCCTCCTCTAGTCCTCTGTTTTCCCTTTCCCTATTTAGTTCATTAAATAGTACTTCATTAGAAAAAAGGGAAATCCATTAATTAAGATACATTAATAGTAGGTTTTTTTCTTTAAAGAAAAGAGATTTTGTCGGTTTTCTTTTTTACCCACCCTACTTATAACCATCCACGGGCACGGGTTTCTTTCAGTTAAACCAGAACTAAAGCAAATGCAAAGGCAAAGGTTATGCTTATGCCTATAAAAGAGAGAGAGAAACCAAGTCATGCATCTCTTCTGATTTGTCAACAACAATCCTCTAGCTTTAAACCTACCCCATTTCGATTTCGCATCCACTCTTGTTTTTTTTTTTTTTCCTGTTAAATATGTGAAAAGAGAGAAGAAAGAAGACGTTTTCAGCTTTGGATTCTCTGTTCTGTGAGTTATTACAATGGCGGTTCAAGCACAGCTGTATCCTGAAATTCTTGGCTTGCCCGTGTCTGGCTTTCAAGATTGTTGGGTGGTTAGTCCCGTTTCTGCGTTTGAACCTGATTTTGATTTTTGTTTTCAAGATCCTCAGCATGCTCTGTTCCCTCAACAAAACATGGGTATTCATCGTTCCAACAGGGGACACAATGCCTCTTGTTCTTCATCTTTGACACGTGATAGTTTTCTATCCATGGCACTTTCTCAATCTCTAGATGCCCAACTCCATATGCAAAAGCAAGAACTCGACTCCATTCTCCAATTGCAGGTTATTTCATTTCTCTTCCTATTTCTTTTTCATCTTGGTTTTTATGTGTATTCATTTTATTATGTTATATGCACAGAACGAAAGGCTAAGATGTGCTTTAGAAAGGCAAACGAAACAACAATTGGCGATTTTGCTAAATAATATGGAACCAAAGGCGTTCTCTCTGATGAAACAAAAGGAAGAAGAGTTGGCTCGAGCAACTACTAAAACGATGGAGCTCGAAGCCTGCCTAAGGAAAACAGAGATGGAAACAGAGTCCTGGAAGAGATTAGCCAGAGCCAATGAAGCAATGGTGATGGATCTGAGCAAGACTCTCGAACAGGTCAGAGAAAGACTAGTCCTCGTCAACGACACAACCGAAGATGCAGAATCATGTTTTTCGTGTCATAAAGAACAAGAATCAAAGGAGGAAGAAGAAAGCATAAGGATGGCTTGTAAAAACTGCAATTCTAGGAGCTCGTGCATGCTGTTTCTCCCCTGCAGACACCTCTGCTCGTGCAAGAACTGTGAAACTTTTCTGGGTTCTTGTCCTGTCTGTAAATCTGTAAAGGAAGCAAGCATGGAGGTATTTTGGGTCTAACAAGAAAGGCACAAACCATAGGAAAGCACAAGAAAGAAAAATTTCTTGGGAAGCAAACTTCTGCTGCCGATGTAGTACATTATGGTGTCCTGTCTTCGGGTTTTTTATTTTTATTTTTTATGTTTCTTTTTTGGGTCTATGTTAACAGATTGTTTTTGGTACTGCAACTGCCCAGGGTCGAACATGAAATGAAATGCTGACAGGATGAGTTTGGTCATGAATCTTTTTGTATCTTTCCCGGATTAACTACTTATAAAATTCCAGATTTAGATTTTAAAATTGATTTTTAGTTTTTGGGTTTAAGAAAAAGAAGGGGAAAATTGCCAGCTGGGATGAGGGAAACAGTGTACTGATTTTGATCTGACAGAAAAGATTTGATACCCAAAGTTTGACATTTACATGGAGTGGGGAGAAAACTGTCCACCGCCACTACCTTTTTGGTTTTTGCCAATGAATTGTTCATTGTAATTGTTAGGGGTGCTCCAAAACAGGACAATGAATGAGTTACTGACTCCCAAAGCGAAAGAAGTAAGGTGCATAATCGAGATGGGAGTGAAAGACAGCCTCTCCTTTATCAAGTAAAGAACTAGGAAAGAGACAAAGATGTCCTTCGTATGTAGCATATTTTTTGTCCATGCTTCATGGACAACTTATGATGCACTGCTGCAAGAAGCAAGGATCCCAAAATCATGTATGAGAGATTGGTTGTTAATTTGGTTTCCTTTTTGTTTACCAAAAATTTAGATTATTTGGGGATGAAAATGAATAGCAAGATGTTTACCAAAGTTAGCTAACACGTTAAAATGCATAAATTAATTCAAGGCACAATATGAAAGAAATGGAGGAATGTTTTCTACAATATATATATATATATAT